GTGCCTTACTGCTATCTCTAAAGTAGCTCGTTATTAGCTACCGCTACTAAAAATAGCGCGATACTTTCGCCCGCCATAACTCTGCTCATGGCACATATAAGAACATGATTATTCGTATAAAACATACTTATCCCATTTGCCCATATAAAATAATATATATTTCAAATATTAATTACATATATAAAACTATCAGGGGGCAAATTGACCTTAAATTCAAGCGGGCATTTTGCATAGGAAACCACAAAATTATGTCAACTTTTGAGGCCAATCAGGAAGATGAGTAAAAAGAGACCGATTGGAAATAAAATGAATATATACTTTTAAAAATGACATAAGTAGTGAAATTTCTCTTATCATTTTCATATATTTTATATATTAAAAGTTATTATATGAGATAGGAGTGGGAGAGGTAGGAACCATTTGCCTCCGTTTTTTAGGGGGAGGACTAACATCTAGAGGGGTGAAGGCATCTAGAGAGGGGTGATTTCAGGCTTATGTGATGGATCTTTATCCTGTTTTTACTAGTCATGGATTTTTAAAATATACTTTGGTTCATAACTCTTCATTTTTCTCAAGCTATTTTGTCCTTATTAAATACCTACTTAATTTGTAAATTCTTTAAGGTTTCCACACCGATTTCAAGAAAACATCTGTGTCCCACAAATTAAGCCTTAGATACCATATATTCTTTTACGTTTACACCAAATTATATCTCCCTTTTCGTAAAATTCAAGCCACCAATTCAATTTTAATCTTTGAACAAACACTTGTTATTGCTTATTTTATTTTCGTTTATTCACTCCTCACTATCACAGGTTATATCGTCATTAATAGATGGATTGCAAAATCAAACTATTTATATTTTATTATAATATACACATTTATAATAAACATGTCATCTTTCTTATGTCATGTTCAAGTCATAGGTAAATTGTATTTTGATCTTGATTAGTATGTAATTAGTTTACATTTAGGACATCTAACATTTAAAAATTCTACTTTTATTTCATTTTAATAATTATTTTTATATTTATACACGGGTGCACATAACTTTTTGATATAATTTAAAAAATTATTAATTATTCAATATTATTATAATTAATATCTATAAATAAAAACATATTGTTTATATAATAATATATACAGGTGAAGTCGTTGGACAATTCAATTAATATCGATTCCGATAACGATCTAAATATGATATTTATGTTTACAATTGAACAGAGAAATGTAATGGGGAGGCTGTCTAAAAGTTTAAAACGACCAATACAAAATACTAATAAAATATAATATGTGATATAAAACTACACCTCAGTACGAGACTATTTTAATAGGATTTGGTCATAAAAACGAATATAGCCCATCTCTTTTCGAAATAACGAAAGAGCATAAACTTCACTAAACAACTCATTATTTATTAAGTATTGTAGATTTACCTTATCCGACCATATAAAATTTATTTTATAGGCGTTTTAAATATTTTGTTATATTGCAGTATTTTCGTCCAAGTTTTTTTTACCGAGGCAATTTAGGTCCAAATCATTTAAAGCGGCGAGGAGTTGATATTCTAAGATGAAGTGACATGATTAAAGATTCAGGCTCGTTTAATCCCAATTAGTGATGCGAGCACCCAGCCGACACGTGGACCGGGGTGTTTATTAAATAATCAACAAATTATTGATTCGGATTCAAGATGAGAAATTTTAAATGCATATTTAAATTATAACAGGGCAAAAGAAAATTTTTATTTTTATTATTTTTACTAATAATTTTTTTAAAAAAATTCTGACTAAATATGAATTCTAAATGATAGAATAAACTCAATTTTATCATGATAAAAATATTGACAATATTTATGATATCTTAAATTTTAATAATTTGTGAAGAGGTTTTGGCAAGGTATTTGTTAGCCGTTTTAAGCAGGGATTTACTATAAAAATATTTAAACTATATTTATAGGAAAATTAGAAGCCACTAGTTTCTAGGTACACTAATGACAAAATGAAGATGATATTATTTTTTGTAAATTTTATGACAAGTTTTAAGTGACAACAAATTCTTCCGGGTGTTATATATAATATAGATGAACCTGGTAAATTTAACATATATGACAATTAATTTTCATTTATATACTTAGAATTAACATTTTTATATAAAGAAAGTTTAAAAAATCTAAAAATAAAGAAGTGATATGACCTGAAACGCTAAAGGATAATAGGTGCTCCGGGTGTTTTTCATAATTTTCTATTTTTTTAAATTTTATATTAAAAAAGTAAGATATTTTTCTAAAATATTAATTTCTACCGTAGAGAAATATGTTAAAACTAAAATTACATTTAAACATTTTGGAAAATTTGCTTCATCTATTTTTTATTACTGGACAATATAACCCGGTCTCCCCTTCTTATCGCAATTGCCCATATAAAATAATAATTATTTCATTAATTGCACATATAAAACTATCAGGAGGCGAACTAGCCTTAAAATCAAGAGGGCATTTTGCCCTCGAAACCCCAGAAAAATGTCGATTTTTGTGACCAATCAGAAATTTTTCATGAAATATATGTATATTTTTTAAAATAATATAAGTACTATTTCATTTTACATATTAAGAATAACTACATGAGATAAGGATGGGAGAGGTAGAGACCATTTGCCTCCGTTTTTTTATAAGGAGGCTAACATATAAAGTGGTTCAGGCGTCTAAAGGGGGTATAATTCCTTGTAGATTAAAGACAAAAATAACTGGTATGTAAAAAGATTCATTTAGATATACATTTCGATTTTAATGGTTAATTAATTTTTAAATTATTCATTCACAAATAATATATATACATTATCGTGGCTAATTTTTAGATTACGGGTTCAACACATTATGTTTCTTTGTTGTTCCTGGCTTGAATTATGTTGCCGGAAGGAGTTTATATTAGGATGTGACTAGGAGGTTGTAAATATTACTCAAGATAAAATTTGCTTATTAGATGATGTGGAAACTATATAGCGGACGAAGTCTAGCTTCACTAAGTAATCCGTTAGGCTCGATAAATCTTTGACAATCTCATCCCTTCATTTTTTATATTTGGGGGTCATCTTTTATGTTTATCTCAAATTTCATATATTGTATCCCTCATCTCCTCTTTGACTGAACCTACGTAGCCTACATTCATTCAATTTAGCCTTAAATGGGGCGATTCTGTTTCCCAGTATATATCGGATCATTTTCAATTTGTTATACAAAAAAATTTTTTCTTCTGACTTTTTTTAAACACATCATTTGACTCCCAATATATCTTGTTTTTACTAGTTTTAGATCTTTTTAATAAATTTTGGCTCATAACTCTTTACTTTTCTTAGACTATTTATTTTGTCCTTCTTAAATACCTATTTAATTTGTGATTTCTGTAAGGTTTCTACACCGACTTCAAGAAAATACCTGTCCCACAAATGATCAAAATCTAATTATGTTAATTATATAACTTACTTAATGTATTAAACAAAACAACTTTAAAAAAATTAATTAACACTTTTTTAGGATATAATAGAATTTTAAAAAATTAATTTAGCATTCCCAAATATGTAACTGTTACAGATTTATGTTACCTTGGATAAAATATAAATAGTTAGTTATAAAAAGGATAACTAGTTTACATTAACAGCACTAGCGATAACAATATAGAAATCATGCCGAGTATATTTAGGCTCCTAGGTTGTGTATATATAAGTACGATGTTAAATAAGCCAGAGAGTTTATGACCCTACCTTGTTTGATTTCTGAAACATGGGTACAACAATATTGTTACATTTCATTAGAAAGACATATTCAGATTCCTTGCTAATATTATTTAAAAAATAGGAAGCATCACCTACTTTTGCCATTTACAATCCTTTCAACGAACGTCACAAAAATTATAGGCCCGAGCATAAAAGTAATGCGTCTCTGAGTTACAAAAAAAATAATGAGGATAATATATAATGAACAATGTGTAATATATGGGATTTAGATTATTTCACGAAATGTTTGTTACTACATATAATTTCCATCAGGCGTGTAATCAATGGGGGGGGGCACCACAAATGTAATTGTTCTCGTAAATAACATTTTATGGTAGTAATAAAAAAAGAATTTGAAAGAAAAATTTGTAAAAATTAAACCAAAAAATATTTTTAAATACAATAAGTGTACCTAAAGACTTGATTATGGAAGAAAAACCCGCCTAATATTGACACCCCCCCCCCCTTATTTAAATATCCTGAATATCCCTATGCTTCCAGTATTAAATCGGAGAGTGGCACGTTATACAAGGATCATGAAATTAAAAGTGGGGTCAGCATTTAAGCGCGCGAAAATTTATTTAAACAAGCCTATCTAAATTAATTATAAGAGTTAGCGACACTGATTTAAAATTGATGTTTTTTTGCAGTTTAAGGAATTTTAATTCAGTTATTTTATTTCTTAATTTATACATCCTTCCAGAGTTTTTAAGCATTGTGGTTAATATAATAGGGTATAAAAGGAGTGGCTTAACATTTGATTATCTATTAATATTAATTCACGAAAATTTTAAACGATACAATGTTAAATACTAGATATAAATAAATATGTCATAGAAAAATTACGGGATTAAAAATAATTTTTGTCATAGTTCTATTAAAGTGATTCAAACATTAAATAAATATTATTTTTTTAAATAATTTATATCAATTATTTTCAGAGGGCCTACGAAAATAGGTTGGATGCAGGACTCTGCTATATATTACAGCGTTAGATATTTTATGTAATATAAGGCGTTTCGTTATAAATAAATCTAGAAAATTTAAAAAATTTGATGTTACTACTTACTTTACCATACCATTAACTATCATTATTCATCTACTAACTCCAAGTCTAAATATCAAGTTGGATATAAAAATTTTTTTAATATATATTATGAAATGAAATCACAACCATAAAACATTCAATAAAATATTTCATTTTTCAAGAGATCTTTTCTTTCTTTTTTTTTAAAAAAAAAATCATATTAGAAAATAATCGAGTTTTATATAAACATAATATTTTATCTAAGCTAGATAAACAAAGGTATTCATATCCTCTTCGTCCCGTTGGATAAATTTTTTTTCCATACACCATTCTATTTGTTTCTTGATACATTTCCAGGAGGGAACAAAAGAATGTTTAAGAATTTCTATCACTTCCGTATGTAGTTTAGTACTGGTTAAAGATCTTCTGGTTTTCATAATCTTGACTAATGCCTCCTTTAATTTTTTATTTTATTAAAATAAATTTGATAATCGATTTTTTTTTTTAAAAAAAACTAAATAACCCTACGTAAAAATAAACATTTTTAAAAAAACTTGAATTCGAAATGATCTGAGCATATATAAATCTGTTTTTTCCTCTTCTTCCATAGATGGATCATGACCCAGGGAACTTTGCCAACGACTTATCAGATTAATTTTGCCTCTTTTGAAACTATTGTTTTTGCGACTTATAAGTTGAAATAAAGTTGAATAAAATATATTTCTGTGAATTTAAATTATTTGCAACATCGACATCAAGATTAATCTTAAATCTCAATATCAGTTGCTCATATAAAAATTTCAAATTAATTACTTCATGTTTAATATAAATCAGAGACCTACTGGCATGGTCAGGAATGGACCAAAAAATGGTATGATGACCAAAAAATGGTATGATTTTTTTTAAAAAATCAAAATTTTATCAATTAATCGGTTGGAAAAAATCAACGGAGCGTTTTAATATTTATTGTTAATATTTGCAATTTCCCCTCAAAACAATTTGCAAAATTATTCAAAATATCGAAATTTTTTAAAATTTTGGGGCCGGGGCGGGCCCGTAAAATGATCATAAATAAAAATCCTGGTCGGGTTTGAAAATAAATTTTTATGTTATAAACATATTTCCGCATTATTTTTTGAAAATGGAAATACATTAAAATTGTTATATTAACGTTATTTCTGGGTTTGCCGTTTAAGCATCTATAATCTCCAGAGTTTTTCTCGTATTCAATAAAATTTGTGCCCCACCAAGAAATAACGTTAAATAGCGAAAAAATTACCCAATCCCTAAAAAAAAATGCTTATACATCATAACGAAATCTGGATTTAGTTTGAACAAGGTCGAATCGGTAAAATCGACGTTTCCAAGATCGATCGTCATATCATCGACATTTTTGATTACCAATAATATGTGGCTCTTTTGTCTGGGGCAAGAGATGAGGCTGACCAGAGTTCTTCTGAGCTCCTTGTCTATCAGTCCCGTCGATATTTTCAATGATTCGTAGCTTATGAGCCTAGAAAATTTGAGATTTTCGGTATTCTGATTGGTGTTAGGGGCATCGTGAGCCATGTTGGATTTCACGTCATTCACGAGGGTGTTGCTATCCGAAGGAAGGAGAAAATTATCGTTCCAACACAATAAAACGCACATTTGGAAAGTGGTTACGTCCAAATCGAAATCTCCGCCGGTAGGCGTTTTATAGTTTATCTTTATAATACATTGATATTTGTATACTGATTTGAATCTCCAAGATTATGCAAATTATTCTATTTTTTAAAAAAAATAACCACTCAAATTGCCTAGCCCAGATCGAATATAGCAAATTTAATTTAAAAAGGACCAGATCGGATAAAGATTTGACCGCGATTTGGATCAAGGAATCTTCATTTTGATCAAATAATTTAATTATTAAAATTACCGTCCCATAAGAGAAGGAATGAATCCATCTAAGCTTCCTGCCCGAGTATTTTTCGTTATATTTGCTTTCGAAATCTGGAATAATGATATCCTCGATGTCACGAGACAGAAAGGCCGAATTTTGAAGCGGGGGTTTAGGCCAAGTGGCAGTGTTAAGAATTTTTACGTTTATTTTGTCTGTTTTTTTTAAAAAATTTAATAATATTTCAATTATAGAAAAAAGGGACTATATTTCTTCCTTTATTTCTATTATCTAATAAAAATATAGCAAAAAGGTAAAATCTTATGGGAATAAATAAAAGTAATTCCAGAAACTCTCTAAATATATTATTCATAAAACAGTTTATAAAAAATAGACGTTAACAAAACAGTACTCATCTTATGACTTATATTAATATAGAGAGCTCAACGTCCAATGTGGGCAAAATTTTCCTGACTAAATGTGCCATATTGGTATGCCCTTTCATTCGGATTCAAGCATATGATTTATTAAGTGATTATTCTTTTTTTTAGAATATAAAATCATTAATTTATTTTTATTTGTTGTTATTCGTAAAAATGAATAACAGAATTAAATACTATTTTAATATTTAAAATAGTATTTAATAAGCTCAATTGGCTGGTAATCATAATTTAAATTGAAATTCAGGAAAAGATACTTTATATTAAATTTTCTTTTTAAACAAAAAAAAATATTATTAACAATAAACTAATAATCTAGTAACCCTATTTACAGGGCCCTCTAAGCGGGTAGGAAGTATGATGCAATAACGTAATTAAAATAGTAAGGATATGTTCCCCTCCCCCCTCATTATTTTTCTTAAAATACACGTTTACATCCATCCAGCCCTAATTATTTAACCTTTTTTTTTATAAAAAGAATTATATATTTTTTATAATTGATGAAAATGATATAATTTAATTTATCTTTTATTATATGCCCAAGAATATGCAATTTGTTTTAGTGAGTTATAAGTAAAATAAGAAATAATGAGGTGAGAAAATAATGCTGACAAAAAGACTGGATAATTAAATTCTAAAATTTATGCTAAAGTGTAGCACTTGTGCCTAAACCGGAAGTGAATTATAAAAAAGTTTTACCACTTGGAAAAACTTAAAAACCTTTATGAATTTTAAAAAAATTATATTAATCATAATAGCAAAAAAAAATGGACTTGTCTTGGCCAAGTTTTGAAAAATATTTTGGATTCCACAAAGTGAAGGATAGTAGTATAGATAATATTATTATCAAATGTCTCCTATGTCTTCCAAAAAAAATATATTTTATCATCTAATTCACCCACAGCTAATCTATGGAAACCCATCTCTGTAAGTTTATTTTCACATAACTTGTCTTAAATAGTTTTAAATTTTAATACGTGACAAGATTTTTGTTTTGCCTAATATTATATAGAATAATTAAAGAGCCGTTTCTGGGCGTGTCCGCAGGTCTCTAATGTACATTATATAAATAAATAAATAAACCTAATAGTTCGGGTTTCTTTGTTTGAGATTTCCAAAATGAATTGAACTCTTTGCTAATGTTTATATCCTGGAACATGCGCAATAATTTGTTAATATAATCTGCAGAAATACCAGTATTCTTTGTTAAAAAAAAATTTCAAAAAATAATCTACAAAAAAGATAAAAATAAAATAAATATAGAAATATCAAAAATTTTGTGCTTTTACTAGGAATTAGGACCACTCATTTTTCTTCTTATTCTTTATAATTATAAGTATTGTATGGGATAGTTTGGGATGTTAAATGTGATGGGTGTCACTCGCCTTGACTTCTAAATCCAATGAAGGCACAAAATTTTGGTTCTAAATAACGTCGGGTTGGATATGGCTAGCCCTTCTTAACCCCTTTATATATAGCTTCTATAAGATTTAGCCATTAAAAATGTTTTTTAACAATGTCACGACTATTTTAAAAGTATATACTATAAAATGTCAAATATGGTTTCTCTTATTTTATTTTAAACTAGTTCCTTTTTTATCCCTCTTTTGTTTAGATTTAATTACAAAATTAAAGCATATGGTTTTTGTGTTTTTTAATCAGGAGTTTTTCATACTTCTGGATTCCTTAGTAAAGTTTTCGTTAATTATAAATTAGATAATTAGTTCCCAGAGATCGTCCTGAATCTGAGGTATAATTAAAATTCCAAAAGGTATAAGGGGGTTTTTATCCCCAATTGCGTAAAATAAAACTAACATAAATTCCTCTTTGCAAAAACGTTCTATTTTTTATTTTGCGCCAATTTTATTTTAATTATAATTGCGCTTTTTATTTCCCTTATAAAAGGGTCTAATTTTTATGTTATCTGGATTTTAAGTTTTTAGCTTTATAAATCTTTACAATTAATTAATATTTTTTTGACTTAATAAAATTTATATTTTATATGTGTAATTTTTTTTATTAGCATTTAATAAATGTTGCAACTTTCAAATTTTATAAATTATTTTACTATAGGGGTTTCCAACTCTTACAACATTACCCGTAACTGAAGCCCCACCACTTCATATATATAGGTATAATAATATAAAATCAGTTTCCATAAAAAAACAAACTCAGAAATGTTTTTATCTACTGGTAAACAAATCAGCCCGCCTGAATGTCAAAAATGTAAGCGAAGTCAATCGAGGTGGGCAATTACAGTGTTTAAAAAAAATATTAGGTTATAAATTATTAAATAACGTAATAACTTTAAGCATATCAATCATGAGCTCGTCTAAAGAATTATCAGCGCTGATTTCCAATATGAGGCGACGAGTTAAATTTGATTTGTAAAAGCGCATGAAAATGTCCTTGCTTTTCACGAATTTCAGTAACAAAACCTAAATAAAAAAAATATATATTCATTTTTAATCCTATTAAAATATTAGGCTCAATAGAAATTGAGCGAATACCAAAAATATTGGGCGTGAATTCAATGCATTAACATAAATGTATATTTGTGATGACAGGGAGATTGGGCTAACTCTGCATTTATAGTATATGTGATGCGAAATTAATCGCTAGCGAAATCACAGCTGATTCGCCTATCATCGTATCGCAAAATTTTTAATGCAATTTCATCATTAGCTCAGTATTTACAAAATGAATCTATTATTGGCTTGATTATGTTAAGTAGGGAAAAATTTCGTATCGCTTTGAAGGAATCGCCCTTACTATAAAGGCGTAAATCTAAAAGTTTGCGGAATCCCTTAAAAAAACTGAAATTTAGTCATTCCAATGTAAAACTATAGATAACATGTCACCCAGAAAATATATTAGAAAGATATTCCATTGGAAGGTAAGTTTGTTTTCAAAGAAAAAACTTGTAACGGAAATATTACTTTTTATGGTTTAGAAAATACTAGTTGAGATTAACGTTATAAATTTTAATCAAGCCCAGAGATTTTTCATTTAAAATATCTATCTTTAATCCGGAAAAGTTTTTTGATAGAATTCTTACAGTTGTTTAATTTGATAAATTGATTTATATTTTGTGTATTCTTTTTTATTATAGGTGTAGAGTAGAGCCATGTAATGGCATCGTAAACTAGATTATGGAGTTCCTTAGGATGTGAGCTAGGAATTTGGATACGACGTAAGGTAATATGAATTGGGGTATGTTTTGATATTCTCCATAGATTAATATTTGATATCACTTTTGGGTAAAAGATGCCATTTATAGTTCGGAGGCAGTTATAAAACTGTAAAAGATGTAATGGAACTAAACTTAAATATGAAACAATTTATCAAATTAAGCAACCATAAAAAAACTTTTCATGATTAAAGATAGATATTTTAAATGAAAAATCTCTGGGCTTGATTAAAATTTATAACGCTAATCTCAACTAGTATTTTCTAAACCATAGCATGTGCTGCTATTAGTTCAGGACAAAACGAAAATCAATTGGTATGTTCTTTAAATTTTAATTTAGGATAGAAATGATTCACGGCTTTAATTAAAAAACTTAAATTTAAAATCATATAACCCACCTTTAAATTAATTAACTTATACAGCAGTTCTTGGGCATAGGCTCTTTTCCGCCCTGCCCTTTTTAAAGCCTATGGACGTCTGTAACATTTTTCGAAATTTTGCGCGTAAAAAAACATGCGGCTTGCCCACAAACGTGTAGAGGGCTATATATCACGTATCACGTAAATGATGGTATTCGATAATTATTAATTTCATGCAAAAATGTAATTATCAATTTTCTGCAAAAATTTATAGGAAGAAAATTTAGAAATTGGAATTAAATGTAATAAAAAAAAATATTTGAAAAAAACTAATAATCGAAAATATAACTCACGACAGATTTGAGTTTCGCTTCGATTTCTTCGTAATTATACTTTCTGGTAAGGCTGGATTTTTTGAGCAAGTTATCGCAATAATTGGCTAGCAATTGAGGGCACTTGGATTCGTAGTGAGGTTGTTGAATGATTGAACTGGTATTGGTTTTCGTGAGGTCCAGTTTGAAGATCGATGTATCATTAACAATCGAGGTAAAAGCCTTCGATTCGATATAAAAAATTTTAAAAAAGTTCGTAGGTTTTATCATAAACAAAAACCTGCATGCCGGCTCGAGTCAAAAAAATGGTATGATATTAAAAATCTGGCCCGGGTTTAAAATATACATTAAATTACATCAATGAATCAGTTGGAAAATCATATAATGGAGTATCTAAAAATTCCTCTCTTTAATTTCTATTTGAAGCAATTTGAAAAATACAGCCTAAAATGATTTAAAATAATCAAAAATAAAGATCCTGGCCTGGCCAAACAATTTCTAAAAAAATGATTTAAAATTTATTTTTTTTAAAATTCAACGTGTTATTTGGACCTAAAATTTTGACCTCTTCTTTTATTTCAAGGAAGCAATACTTTTGTTTGACTTTATAACTATTAGTTTTCCGTCAGGACTCAGCAAGAATAGGAGTAGGATATGTTACAAATCTCAAATTATATCTAAACGAAAAATTCGACGTATTTCTCAATTATATATCTTGGTACCTTCTCTACCTGCATTTCAATGTCGAAAGTTTTAAATAAATAATTAGGCAACTTATAATATTTTGGCGGGTAATTTCTGGAATGGTTGTTTTATAAGCTAATTTTTTATATATTGTTATATAAAAATGGACATGGGATTTACAAGTTCCCAAAATTGACATAATTAGTTTTTAGCTCTGAGGTAATGACCCTGATTTACATTTTAAAAAACAAAAACTAAAGTGGCCTTTTACATAATGTCCAATGAAAAATGACGATTTGGTAACGAGATATTAATTTTTTTTTGCTAAATAGAGAATTTACTTTAAAATAACCAAGGTATTGAAATTTTAAGCATTCGAAGCTAAATGGCGATATTACATTTTATTTTATAGACAAGTGTTGAATGAGGTCACATCTAATTTGGTTAGCCCACTGGTTACGATTTGGTAATGGCTCTAAACATTTAAAAATACTTGCATAAATAATATTTTATAATAAAGAAGGAGTAGAAAGAATTTATTTTTTTTATAAAAATTTTTAATTAAAGGCTCAAAAATTATTTTGTGTTTAACTTAAAATAGTAGGTAAATCTACTTCAGCGATTTAAAGAATTTCCATATTTTCAAAGCTGGATTAAAAGGAAAGTTATCCTTTGGAAATGATAAAATTACTAATCAAAAATAATATTTTTGCTTAGAAAATTTTCAAAAAATATAAATAAAAAAAATGTATAACTTTATCTCTGCATATCAAAAATTTGGGATCATTTTGGAATGCGGTTTCGATCAGATTCGTGTATTTGTTGAATAGACTCAACAACTTTTCGACATACTTTTCTGGATCCTAAAAAAATATAAACAAACATAATTTTAGTGAATTTTGATCATCATAAGGTGAATAACTTATCATGGAGGCCCTCTTCATCCCCTTTTTATAGAATTTTTAATTAGCGTTGTCAAAGTATATAGTTAAATTTTGCAAAAAGTAGATGTAACAAGTTACTTTAGAAAAATATATCTAGTAACTGTAACAAGAACAACAAAAGTAACGAATTACTTATTTAAATAAGTTAAATATGCAGTGGCGTAGCTATGGAGAGCAATTTTTTAGATTATACGTTCAAAAGACTCAAAAGTGACTTTATATCAAATAAATACCACGAATATTTATATTTTTCTGGTTTTGATGTTTGTGGAAGGATATTATATTATTATAATTATTCTGGATAGCATTATTATAAAGTCATTGAGAATAATCTACTAAATTATAATAACATATTATTGACGCATTTAAATAATATATTTATTATATATTATCGAATATGGTTCCCCAGAAGCAAAAAAATTTGGATCATCGTTCAAAAATTATTTTAATTCAAATAAATACTCCAACAAGATAATATTTTAAACAAAAAGTTTTTGAATATGATTATGAATTTAAACATTTTTATGGTTCTGATATTTGTGGAAGAATTATATTACTTTTAAATATATATAAATTATTCTGTCTATTATTATATTAAAGTCATTGATAATAATCTACTAAATTATAATAATATATTATTGATGCATTTAAAAAATATATTTATTGTATATTATCGAAGATATGGTTCGAAAATAATAATATGAAATAAAATAGTGCATTACTTTCTGATGTTTATATTTCTAATAATATATATTTGGTTTATATTTTGTTGCATTTTTATAAAAGAAATTATTAAAGAAATTAAATTTTATGAGCAAAAAGTAAAGATAGTCATTTCCTATAATTACCGCTCATTAATGCAAGTAGTTATGGGAAAAAAGTGTTTAGATATTTGTTCTTAAGTTTAAAGTTTCTTTAAATAATTGTAATGCCTCAACAGGGTTGCTGGGACGCTCTGTAGGGATGATGGTGGTTAGATCAGAATACCAAACTTCAGTATCTGATTTTAGCTGTTCGTATCCTTCGATAATGTCGGATTCATTATTATTAATAATTAATTGTTCTGAGAATAATGGCAAAAGAAAATTAAATATTTTAATGTTTTGCTCTGCCCAGCAAATTTTAATTTAAAGTGAGTAATAATTGTTTTTAATAACGGTAATAAAATAACTTTTTTATAATAATCAAAAGTTGATTCCAAGGCTAACATGTCATCTGTGATTAGCCTAGGTTTCTCAATAGTAATTTTAAGTTTCTCACACAAACTTAAACATCTATCATATATTGGTAAAAAAAATATTATTGGCATTTACCTCAGCATCGCCTCTTGGCTTCATTCTCTCCACAATGCTGATATTTTCCCTTTGAAGATATCGACTTAAATTTACAGTTTTAAAAAAATATAATTCATACAAAAAATAGATATAATTAAGGGGGTTTGGTAAATTGATAAACACAATTCTTGTGCAATATTAGATGTATCTTTATCTTTCCTTCTTTTGGGAAGCGATCAAAGGTGTTGTATGATGTTTTTAAAAATATAGATGGATCCAGTTAAAAAATTAAAAAAATATTCGCTACAAGATTTCTTCAAAGACAAGATTCAATTACTGTCTTTCTTAAAGCATTGGAAGGCATAGTTGAAATGAAAATGATAAGTAGATGAAATGATAAAGATACATCTAATATTGCACAAGAATTGTGTTTATCAATTTACCAAACCCCCTTAATTATATCAATTTTTTGTATGAATTATATTTTTTAAAAAACTGTAAATTTAAGTCGATATCTTCAAAGGGAAAATATCAACATTGTGGAGGCAATGAATGAAGCCAAGAGGCTTCTTAAAATATTTGAAGATGCTGAGGTAAATACCAGCAACATTTTTTTTACCAATATATGATAGATGTTTAAGTTTGGGTGAGAAACTTAAAATTAATATTGAGAAACCTAGGCTATTTTAACAATAATATAATGCTTAACATTAAAAAAATTAGAATTTTTTATTAACCCGACATTATCGGAGGATACGAACAGCTAAAATCAGATACTCAAGCTTGATATTCTGATCTAAGCACCATCATCTCTACAGAGCGTCCCAGCACTGTTGAGGCATTACAATTATTTAAGGAAACTTTAAACTTAAGAACAAATATCAAAACACTTTTAATAATATTAGCAACACTTCCCATACTTGCACCAATGAGAGGTCATTTTCCACATTGACTCGACTTAGAAGTTATTTAAGGGCAACCTCTGGCCAGGCGATCACCAATTAATTGGCTCTTCTGTATATATATATAGAGAGATCTTAATCCTACCCCAAATGAGGTCATAGAGGAAATGGCTAAAGGGCCACTAAGAATTAAGTTAAATATATAAAATATAGTTTTTTAACATATTATTTATAGTTTTTTTTAATCAAAAGCAATCAAAATATTTTTTTCAAATTATTATTATAAATTTGTTAGTTTACATAAAATTATATTTTGTTATTTATAAAGGGTTTTACTAATAAAATATATCATTTGTAATTAAAGCAATTTATATCATTTATAATCAGCAATTTATATATGTAATACTAATAGTTATAAAGTATATAATTTATAATAAAGCAATATAATATTTATAATTAAAGCAATATAATATCTTAAATAATGGCTTTTTATTTGTAAATTCATTTCTATAAAAGTATAATAAATTGAAACGTATATCTATAAAAGTTATGTCGAAATGTGTTATTTTAATTAAAATTAGTGTTGTAGTGTTGTTAAACAACTCGTTTTGAGCCGATTTTTAAAAACGACTAACTCAATATTTTAGCCAGAAAAATATTGCCCAAGCCTCGAGATTTCGAAAATATATGTCTAGACCTTTATTCCTTCTATGAACAAAATCTTCAGGCTTGCGTAATATTTTTCTGGATAAAATATTGAGTTTGCCGTTTTTAAAAATCGGCTCAAAACGAGCCGTTTAACAACACTAAGTGTTGTTAATGCCTCAATTTGAGCCGATATAGCTAACTCAATATATTAACCAGAAAATTATGCAAGCCTGAAAATTTTGCTCATGGATGATACAAAAGTTTAGACATTATTCGTAAAATCTCTGGGCTCGAGCAATATTTTTTTGGCTAAAATATTGAGTTAGTTGTTTATAAAAATCGGCTCGAATCGAGCCGTTTAACAACACTAATTAAAATGATCTATAATTCTAGGACATTTATATTATAAGAAAAACAAATATGATTTTTAAGATAAACCCGACCGAAGGCGGGCAAAAGGGCCGTAGGCCCGTTAAAAGGGGGTCTGGGGGGGGCGAAGATGGCTTTTATATGTATGGACCCCCTCTAAAGAAAATTCCTAGCTATGCCACTGTTAATATCTATATATATATATGTTTTTGGAGTTTAGGTAATTCAAGACTATGCTTCAGAGATTTAGTTAGCAGATTTTAAAAATTTAAATCACCTATAGTAACGAGTTTTCAATTTTATCTAAGTCGTATTTCCAGCATGTATAGAGTATATTTAACCTGTGAAGGTTGTTTATTTTTTAATGTATATGGAAGAATTTAATATAAATTAGAGGTAGTTCAAAAGTTCTTGAAAAAAAAGAGGTACTCTATACAAGCTAGAATACGATTTTGGCAAACTATTTTTTTATGATTTCCCAGGTTTACAATTACTGTTCAAAAAAGTTTATTAGTTCGCAAGCTTTGAAAATAATTATTAACAAAACAAAATAAAATTTGGTAAGCCCAGATTTGTTGGAAGAATAATTGTGTTATTTATACTATATATTTTTTCGGTGAAAATAAAAAAATTTCTAAAGATTAATAATTTTGTATAATAAGATTATATACTTAATTAAATAAAAAAATATACAAAAGTATTAACATAATTCTTTTTTAAAATGTAACTAGTTATTTAAGAATGTTTTCAAATGGTAACTTAACTAATATAAGTTGAGAGTATATCAAATATCAAAAAAAAATAAGTTTAAATTATAAGTGTTTCCCCGAGACATGTAAACATAAATATTATAAAAATGTGTGGATCAAATAAATTTACAGATAAAATGGTAGAAGCACATGATACCATATCATCCACGCCGTCTTTGTAAATATGAGATTCTAAGATTGGAAGAATATCGCTTATGATATTCCTTTTGCTTTTGACGATTAGTTTGTAAGTAGTATTGAGGTCTTGAAAAAAAGAGCAAAACAAATGAGTTTGGAATTAGATTAGGAAAAATAATCAAAAATATAAAGAGCTAATGAATAATGATTTAAATGGTTCTATTTCTTTCTAGCGATAAAAATAAGTGGCTATAACTTTTAATATCATTTTCCGCGATGAGTTTGTTAACATTTTCAACGATTACTTCCTTGAAATTGTCTACAAACACTTCCACACAAGCCTCCGTAATCTGGGTATAAAAAAACCAAAATTTGTATTTATTTTTTACACAAGATGGCTTCTATTTTACTTTACCAGAGATAATGAATTAGATTCCTCTTTTGAAATTTCCAAATACTTGCATGCTCTACCGTATTCTTCTTGGATTTTTTCTCCGGCAAAATTGAGGTAACTTATAATACCTTTAAAAGAGATTTTTTTAAAAAAAAATTGACAAAAATATTAGGTATACACTTTTTAAAATTAAATATCATTTTTTTTGCGCAATTTGATTAATTTGTCTAATAAGAATTACAATGGGGGATTCGAGATATCAAAACGTTATTTATTAAGATCTAGAAGGGAATTTTAAAAAAAATCTACCATTATAAGCCGATGTGTAAAGCAGAACAAATGAATAAAAAATCGAAATGAAAATGAAAACAAAGATGTATTATACCGTTGCTTTCTATGTAGTCCATACAAAACGGCGAATAATATAGGCGTACAGATTTGAGGTATTCCTTTTCGTAATATTTTCTGTACATTGTTAGATTGTCCTTTTCGTCGCACGCCTGTACTGTAATTGATAGGAAAATTTTTTTTAAAAAAATTAAATAATAATAGTCAAATATCGTCATAAAAAAAATTAATGAAATATTAGAAAAATATAACTTTCCCCGAAAGATTATCTAAAATAAGTAATAAAAAGATTACGGCTAGACTACTTTCAGTTCAAGTTTTTAAAAAAAAAAAATACCAAGGTTCGCTATGGTTTCGAATATTAAAACGCACCAATTAAATAGTGTAATAGTATAGCCTCGACTCGAACCTATTTTTCAGGTTCGATCCGTTTTTATCTCCGGCCAATCCGATACTTTAAGAGTATCCGAATTTTTTATTTATTGATTGGAACGTTAAAAAAAGTGTAATATTTGAACGAAAGCGGAAAAATTCTAAGGCCCGAAGGAAAATAAAAAAAATAAATTTGGATGTTATTATTTGAAAAGAATACTTTATTTATAAACATTTTTAAAATTTTGTCAATGTTCGAGTCCGGATTATAAATTAAAAAACGAGGTCCTACCCGACCGAGTTCGAGAGAATGTCTCTCCGGGTCCAACAAATATGAGCTAAGTTTGATTCGGACAGGACCGGGTTTGGTGTATAGTATTATCAGAGACCTGGAGGCCCAACCTGGAACGGACCAAAAAAGAATGCGGAAAGATTTCAAAAATTTTCATGTCGGGCCGTAAAAATGAAATAAAAATCCGAGTGTCTAACAGTTTCAAAAAATAAAAATCTCAGATTGGGGTTTAATTTTTTCTTTCAAATAGGTCGGTCTAAAAATTTTGACCTCTGCCCGAGTATTACTAATATTTTTTAAAAAAAAAATATTTCGCTATTCTTATCTATTCTTTGGGATAGACTTATAATAATTTATGTAAAATTTTTTTTTTATTATAAGAACAAAAATAATGTTTACGATGATCCTTTCTTTCTAGGCCGTTCAAAATTAAATTTTAAAAAGTTACATAAAAAAAATTTTTTTCTATCTAAATATAGTATAAACTAAGGTAATCTTTCAGTCCTATAATTTGGCTCGAATAGGATGAGACAATCCCTCTCCTTTCGAATTCTAGGTATTGCATGCATTGTCCGACGATCTTACGCGATAAGACATTAAAAACGTAATGATTCCATAGGCTGATCATGAGCTTGCAAAAAAAAGTGTATATATATATTTCTTTTGTTATAAATTAAGGGGGGGGGGGGAGGGTAGAAGAAACAAATGCGCCAATTAATTGCAAATATCTTTGCATTCTACCTATGTTGATAGGTATTTAAGGATTTACTTAATTTGAAAAAAAAAACCAAAGAAAATATTTTTAATACGACATTATCCGAGTCCGAACTTAAGTCTGTCAGACTCGGCGTTTTCTAGGACTCGGTTGGAATTTGACCTTGATATAAAATTTCTTTCGGATCGGAACCTCTAATTTAAAATTATTTTGTTTTTCCTTATCTTTTCATGAAAGTAAAATTTTCAAGATAAAACTATAAAATTGTTTATCTTTTAAAAGGCTTTTATATTTTACCAATTTCGTATTTGATACTTTTTCAACAGTCAGGGGGGCTTGTACCTGTTTCTAGATTAAAATTTCGGATCGCATCTTGGAAAAAAAATAATTCCCAGATCGAATTGGTCAAGAAATTATATATATTTTTTTCGGATTGGGTTGGACCTGAAAAAATAGGTCATGTGCAGTTACTAAAAAAATGGCACCGAAAAATTATGCAAGCTATAATATATTTCTGGGTCATCTGAAATAATATCGTTATATATGGATAATTATTTTACAAGGTTTTAATCCCCTATTCTGGGCTAAAATATTAGATGTCTGATGTGGGCTGGTTTTTAGCGCCTTTTAAAGGGGGAGGGGGGGTAGAAAATTAAACCTTTTTTAAAACAGTGAGCAGGCTGGGGAATTTAAAATATACTTATTCAAAAAAATATATTTATTTCATAATATAGAATATTTAATAAGTTCAATTAAAATATGTTAAAATAAAACAGAGTCAAACTAACCAGTCATCAAATAATTTTTAAATTGGGTGGGCAGGCATTTTACAACAAAATTTATAGATAAATGGGTGGTGTGTGTTTTAAAAACCATAGATGGATTGACAAGCAAGTTGATTCATTTTAAAACAATGGAGGGGTGATAACTCAGGTTACTAACCTGTCCAATGCAGACCCCTACCATGTATGATAACCAAAAACAATAATTCAATACCTTTCTAATTAATTTTTCTTCTGCACATCGAATAGTCCCTCGACCACCAAAACTAGACAGATAATTAAAGATGCTTATGTCATCAGTACTATTGAGTTTACCATTGCTTGCAAAATTTATGCTATCGCTGAGGTCCTTGATGAACACATTTTTTAGTTCTCTGGTTCTAATTCCCTCAACTTGAGTTTTGATGACGGTCTCCATTTGAGCAAATGGTTTAGGTAGGTAAGAGCATTGTTGGAAATAACAATTCCATAATGCCAGAAAACGTCTTGTAAGCTCATTGTCATTGTAAATTCCTTCATCAAGAGTGAGATGTGAAACAGTGAGGTAATTTCTTATGGTGGTAAGAAGAGCATTCAATAACTTAAAAGCTCCACACTCCTCCCATAAACAAATTGAATGAACAATCCTTTTTTTGAAGTTTGAAATTAATTGTATAAATATATTGAATATGAAATAGTTTAATCTTCCATAGTGCTGGTATCTAATAGTGTTGTTAAACGGCTCATTTTGAGCCGATTTTTAAAAACGGCTAACTCAATATTTTAGCCAGAAAAATATTGCCTAAGTCTCAAAATTTCGATAATATATGTATTGACCTTTGTTCCTTCCATGAACAAGATCTTCAGGCTTGTTTAGCCATTTTTAAAAATTGGCTCAAAACAAGCCGTTTAACAAAACTAAATTTAGGCACTGACTAAAAGTGTGCATAGGTCAATTTTTTAAAATATATTATGATTTTATTTTTAAGTTTAAGGATTATAATGTAATGTTAAAAAGTCACTTGTGTAATAAATTATGTATAAAAAAATAAAAGTCACCAAAATAAATCTTGCCATTCATTCTGAGTAATTTTCTCTTGCTTCAAGAATTTTAATATTGATACTTCAATTTGGGGCCATTGCTTTTCATATGAAATGTTAGATTGTTTCTGTGCAATTATTACAAAAAGATTTATTGTAAATAAGATCATAAAATATAAATTAAAGTTGAGATTTATTTCAGTTTTGCATAAAATAGCATAAATTACACTTTATTTTAAGGCTTTGACAAAAATTAAATATAAATGAAAAAGATAAACTAATTCACTGTGTGATCCATTAGATGCAATATAATTTAAAAAACTAAGATTAAATGTATAATTATATGTATATTAATATAAACATAAACTTTTGATATTATTTTACTTTCATGATGGTAAATCTTTTAAAAAACCATATGATGGACAGATATTTTAACTAAATATAAGAAGAAAATGTCAGTCATTTAGTTTTATTATTGAATCAGATTTATTTTTGCAATCATAGGAATAGACAAGATTTTTTTTATAAGAAGGCGGGAGTATTATTAAGTAGGCCTTCTTCGATACGCCCTGAAAAGGTAAGCATGGAAGTTGATATTTAAATGGATTTTATTTAAATTTTAAAAAGTATAAGATAAATATTATCACAAAATTATTGAAAATATAAAAGGATATCGTGGTATTTATATTAAATAATTATGAGTTAAAAAAAAGGTTAATATAAAAATCATACACCGAAAGTTAATTCAATTAATACGATTAATTCAATTTGAATAATAAAAAAAAAGGTAAAGATAAATGCTTGTATCAATTGAAGTAAAGTGTAATTTATAAATATACTGTTCAATAACCTAATATAAATTAACAATATTTTATATTATTATATAAATCCAATATTATAATATTCTCCTCACTCTTTATTTTCTTACTTTTTTTAATGTTCCTCATGGTAATCGTAGAGTTCGTTCGTTCACATCATTGTTGCTTGTTATAAATCTCTATCATAGCATAATAGTATTTGCTTGATTATCTTAATCTCGATGACATGTTGTTTCACTTTTTATTATAATAATCATATCTAATGGTATTCCTATAAATCGTTATATTTCTATATTTGCCTTCCTCTATTTTATGGGTTTGATTGCTAAGTATTTCTTTAAGTTGCGCAAATCTTGGACAATCTCTTTCTTTCATTTTTTTTTATTTGGGGGGTCCTCTTTAATGTTTTTAATTTTTAGTTTCGTATCATCCTCTTCTTTGCGAAACCTACTTAGAAACTTTCTTTCAACTTAGTTTTACATAAGGCGATATATCTCCCATCATTTCTCATATGCCAATTTATTGGTTTTTCCAGCATATATCCTAGCATTTTCATTTTGTAGCCATAATATTTTCTTTTAACTTTTGTAGATTAAATCATTTGACTTCCAATTTCAAAGCCGCTAACGAGTATATTCTATTTTTACTAGTCAGATATAAATATCTATTTAATTTGTCATCGTTCTGCAAGGTTTACTATCAACTACTTTAAGAATACGTCTGTGCCCCACAAATGATCAGACTTCGATACCATATATTATTATATGTTTATACCAAATTATATCTCCCTTTTCATTTAAGCCTCCAATTGAATTTTAATCTTTGAACAAACACTTGTTATTGCACTAATTGGGGTTAATTTTAGCTTGTTATTTTATTTTTGTTTATTAGACTCCTCACTACCACAAGTAATATCGTCAATATTTTCATTCAACCCGATTATTAAATATTTGTTAATTACAGGCAACTGAAGTCAATTCATGATGTAATTTCTCACTAAAAACATATTTCAAATGTGAAAATCTCTTCAAAGACTTTTCAGAAATACTTATGATGTTTATTTTATCAAAATTCTATGGATACAAATATTGCACATTCATTATGAGCTCTTTATTTAGCGGAAACCATTTGGTCAACCTATTTATTATTTGATCAAATATAATCAAAATACTTATTCAGTATATAGGTCAAACTGATCTATGAGAGTTCATCTTTGTTCATACCTGTGAATCCCCTTTTTTCGACTTATTCTGCCTTTGAGATTTCAGCTTGTCCTTAAATACAATCTAGTAGCCATAAATCAGAAATCTTTCATTAAATTTTGCCATTTTTTATAGCTTAATTTAAATGGTTGTGAATATTATAAAAGACGCAGAAGATTTGGCATTTGATTGTTCTCCAGGCTGATAAAATACTTAAATTTTTAATTTGAAAATTCTCAATTATCTGCATAAATGTAGCGCACTAAATAACCATTTAAGGGCATTTTCACGTGTACACCACCTTGTTCCACTTATTATTTGCCTCTGCAGTTTACTTTGGCAAGGTAAATTATTTTAAAGGATAGAGCATCCATTCTTAATTTAATATCTTGTTTACTAAATATTTTCAAATTAAACTTTGCGATTCTTCTTTTTTATATGTTAAATTCCTATTTTTACCTAGAACAGCATTAAGGCTGTCTCCTGATTCAACTTATTTTTGATATTTAATGCTGAGCCGAAGGATAAGCAGCATTTGAACTAGAACAACATATTTTGGTTTGTTTTAGGTTTTTAGTGGCATTGTTATTTTTAGTATATTTTTTTTCCATTTTTTTTGTTGTTTTGTTTTTCTCGTTTGAAAATCAAAATTACTTTTTAGGCTGTTTAGTCGAAGTTAAATAGCTAGCTAAAGAGCCTTATGTTTACTAATAAACCAGGACACGGCTTATTAACTTTATTAAAAGTTGTCTTTGACAACAAAGTTATTAGGAAACCTCTTCACTTAAATTTTAATTTATTAGAAAGCTTTGGCTTTCTTTTTCTACGTTTGCTGCTAATATAGCTATCTCTGAGTTCTAAGTTTTTTTTAATCGTTTTTCGATATAATTCACATCATCTCAAGGAAATTGCCAAAATTTAAATTCTCATTTAAAAAATTGATAAGTGTTTTATTGTGGTCTGATCCTTTGTAGAATAAGTTTTGTTTACATTAAAACTTTATTATCTCTAATATTTGTTTTATTACATGGATATTATTGCAAATCTGTCGATTCTTTTCATTTATTACTATTTTAAAACTTGAATTATATATCTATAATGAATTATAAAATAATGTAAAAAATGTAAATTAATCAAAACTTGGATTTCATTTAAATACAAATTATACCCATTTTGAAAAAAAGAATAAAAAAACGCATAAAATAGCAAGATAATCTTCAAGAGGTGTATTTTTTATGATGCTCTAAAAACTAAAAAAGAAGGAAATATAACTAAAAATAACTTTTAATAAATGTATGAATATGAATAGAGAGAAAATAATTATTTTATATATTTTTTTTAATCGTCCTCTTTTTATCCTTTTTTTTCTGATCGGCCACAAAAATTAACATTTTCTTGAGGCATAGTGGGCGAAATGCCTACTTGATCTTATGGCCAGTCCGCCTCTGTATAAAATCATATGTGTATGTTTCTTACTTATTTAATAAAATACCTTTTATTAATATTTTTTATTCCTAAAAATAGTCATTTTTAAAGGTGATCCTACATGCCCCGTGTAGTGCTCTTACATACTCTGCTACTAAGTTCAATGTGGTCTGTTTTTTAAATAATGTTAACTTAAAACTTCTAACTCATTAAATCTTTATATCAAATAAACAAGTTATTTAGCTATGGTTAGATATATTACTCGATATTTTTTGCCTAATATTTACAAATTTTATAACAGCTTTTCAAAATCCGATTCTATGTACCCCAATCTCCCATATTTGGCATTGTTTTTTTTTTCAAATGAATTATTTCTACGCGTAACTTTACATTATTAGATGTATTTTATTCATTATTGTATACAAATACAATAAATATTAAAGATATTTGATGTTTAAAAGAAATAGACAAGGATGTTTATGCATGTATTTTTAAAACATTTCATAAATTACAAATTATAACATTATTATGCCAAAATGGTTATTTTTATTAATGCGACAAATAGTCCTTGTAACATTAAAAACGACGACGCGTATAATTATATTAACCTTTTATTATTTGTTAATCGTTTAAAAGAATATATACTCTTTCACAAAAAATTTATTAGAAATTATCATAATCTTTCAAAATATATTATTGAAAAAGATGCCGGTCGAAAAATATAAATTGTTATAGGATATTAATAAATTTCGAGACCTTTGAAACGTATTAGTTCATGGATTTAAGTAAAAATTATATATGGCTATCGAATGCTCACATTTATTACCACAATAAAATTTAAATATTTGATTTAGAAAATTTAAAATAAATTATTCTTTGAGAAATTACTTTAACACTCAAAACCTTATATCTAAGATGGCAAAATTAATCTCGATGTTTTTTCTAGCACTCGTGGCCGCTACCTTCATTAGTGTCAGATCTCAGGGTATATTAATTTTGAACCTCAATTTTTTTAAAAAAAAATAAATGCGCATTATACTATACCCTAATAAATTTATTCACAACTAAATGATTTTAATTTTTTCTTCATGTATTATGAAGGTGCAAATGTTGACTCTATAAGGGAGCTACAGAACAAGCTATACAATGATTTGATTCCACAAACAGAGTACATAGTCCGATACGGTAATTTATATTTAAATGTGTTTTTACGCAGATTTGATGGAAAAAATTTCCTTACTTTTCAAATTTTTTTTATTAAAAATAACATATTTTATATTCTTAACCTAATTTGCAAATAAATTAAAAATTATGGAAATGTTTGCAGTCGAATCTATCCAAAACTGTAAGTTTCAGAAAATTCCATATTAAAAAAAATAATAAATATTTTTATAATTACTCAAAATAAATAATATATTTTAAAAATATTTTTTTATTTGAAAAAAAAACAAAGGTTTGGATGCCTTTTGTAGAAACGAATGTATTCCAAAAAGCAGATCCTTAAGTCGATGCGCAGAGTGTCCTGAAGATCTGATTAGACAATTTCAATGAAACAGCTGATTTGTAAATACAATGAGAGACCTGCATAAAATTTATTATTTTGCTTTATTATCATTATTATTATATAAAGTAATTATTATAATTTTAGTTATATAATTTATTTATATATTTATATTTAATTTAATTATATTTATTAGTAAATAAAAAAATAAACAGCATCTAAAATAATTGTGTTTTTTTAAAAAAAAAAGAGTAAATAAATACATTTTTAGACAGTCTTAATTTTTATTACTAGTTCTGAATGTGAATAGAATTAAATAGAATTTTCTATTTAGAAATATATTTTTTTTAATATTGATTTTGATTTAAGAGGTGATAACCTTACGCTTAAAAATATATACTCATTCTTATTTTTTTAAAGTCTTCTAAATATCACATTCTATTCAGACAGTTGTTTAGAA